TTGTGGTCCTAGAAGAAGCAGAGCGCAAAAATCCCACGTTCAAGTGAGTGTTACGAGTGGAATTCACCATTCTCCCCAGGCCTAACCGGAATTCCCATTCTCTCTCTCCTTCCTTCCTTCGTTTTCTTACTTTTCGTGTCTTCTGGTAATTTAAAAGGTTTTTACTTAATAGCCCCTTGAGGAGCTTGCACTCTAGTAAGAAGGCAAGGCTTTCATGAAAAAATAAATTATACAAGTCAATACAGGATGGAGTTTTAAAAACATGAATTCAGAGGAGAGAGTTCATTGTGGATTAGAATAATCAAAGGCTCCACGGCTTTGGACCACAAAACATAGGTACTATTTAGGAAGACATAGGAAGGGGTCATTCTAGGAAGAAGAAATGGTTAGAACAAAGCATTTGAGATAGGAATGAGTAAAAAATTTGGGGTCAGTGAGTAGGGTAGCTTGACTAAAGGAGAGAATGCACAACTGAATTAACTGAGTGACGTCCGAAAGGGTAAGTTGGGTGATAACGTAAAAAGCCTGAAATACCAGGCTAAGGACATTGGGCTTCATTTTGCAGAGAAGCATTGCAAGTTTTTGAGTAAGAAAATACATATTGTAAAATGTTACTTGGGTTGTGAGAATAGAAGACAAGGAGAAAAGCAAGGGCATGACTACATTAATGAAGGTGTGAAGTGACAAGGACTTCATCTAGGATAAATAAACATACCAAAGGGGGACTCCACAGGGCTCCATGAGTGATGAGAGGTAGAGGTCAAGACAGAGAAGCATCAAAACTATTGACAGGAGTGTCAAGAAAAATGTCTTTCATAGAAAGATTTTTAATTTCTTAGACATTTAATTATAGGTGTTTGAAATAAAAACATTAGAAAGCTTTTGGAGGTATAGAGGAAGTCTTAGAAAAAGAGGTCAGAACAGGCAAAAAAAAGATTGGACAGTCATCTGATAAAGGTGATGACCCAAGTTAAGGAAGCGTGCAGTGGGTGGCAGACACATGTACCCAACAAAACCATGAGACAGGTTATTGTTCCAATTTTACAGATAGAACCCTAGGCCCAAAGAAGTTAAGTAACATTCCTAAGATCACATAACGTGTAACTAATAGAGTTGACAGCTGAACCCAGATTCGATCAATTCTGAAGCTCATATTCTTTCTATTCCCCTGTCAGGGAAGGATAAATACAGAAATAAATCACAGAGGAGGAAATTAAATTTTGGAGAATGCTTACAGTTTGCAAAAAGAAGAAGCAGTAAAGAAATATGGAGAAGTCTAAGCTATAGGAGGCGTAGAGGGAAAGTGCCAATTCACGGAAAGGAAAAGAGGAGATACCATCAAAGAAAAGATGATATGATCTAAATTCTGCAGAGAGATGTCCAGCAGGAATGAAGTGCCCTCTTAATTACAGTGTCACTTTCTGCTGTTTCAGTTAGACAGGGTCAGCTACAGTCCGAAAACATTACAGTATTTTGAGAGAGAGCGAGAGAGCATATTCACATAATTTTTATTACACTATATTGTTATAATTGTTCTATTTTGTTTTTAGTTATTGTTGATAATCTCCTACTGTGCCTAATTTACAAATTAAACATTATCATAGGTATATATGTATAGGAAAAAACATAGTATATACAGAGTTTGGTACTATCTGCTGCTTCAGGCATCCACTGGGGATCTTGGAACGTAACCTTAGAGGATAAGGAGGGACTACTGTACTAACAAAGGCCAAAGAATTGACAATTGAGTGACACTACGTGAGGATCTGCTCCCCAGGGTTATCTTAAGCACATTGTGTCTGCTGCTCACTGCACAG